TAAAGACATATAAACGCAGATCTCTCTTTTACAATAACGCCGGTATTTTTTGTACTTAAAACAAAATATCAAAAAATATATAGAGAAATAGATTTAGTTTGTACAGTTGTTTAAATAGACATTTGCAAATATCCTTGATATAGAGGAAAATGGCGAGCTTAAAATAAGTGGGTGTGCAGTGCCATAGTAGAAGAATAAATCGTATGAAAAGGACTCATGTCTTAAGAAATGCAAATAACCTTAGCGTGGTTCCTAATTATAAGTCGGTTCCTCAACAATACATTTTTTAATTAAATATTGTAAACTAACGAGATGTAGCAATATTTCGGACAAATAAAGCTTTCCGATTTATTAACCACGTCAAATTAACAATTAAAACGAGTTTTTATTTAACACACACTTACTACAAACACAAATTCAATTGACTCGTTTTTAGCAGTCAATAAGCCACTTTTTCTTTTAAGTAAAACCTCAAAAGACATGACTCGATATGGCGAATAGTTTGTTTATCCACTGTGTGAGCAGCTCGAAATAGAATTTAACAATTCTCGTACTATTTATATTAGAGACTGTCTCGATCGGGACCTATTTATATCTAGTTCATCATTATCCTAAATGATAGGAACTTAATTAGACTCTCTTAGATTGATACATAAATATATATCAACAAATATACGACTCTATTGTATATCAACGTCTCGAACAGCTTGTAGATCATGTAAAATAGAGTAATGAGGTGGTAACTTTGAAAACTATCCGTTTGATTTGACCATTTAAGCAGTGAGTTGTCAAACTGTGCTGACTATTTCGTAGTGTATTTTAAGGGCCAATTTTTTTGTGGTCGCTTATCGGTTTTTCATGTGTCCTGGTGGGGATACTACTCTTGATTTTTCAGTGTCTTCGATGAGCTTGATATAACTAACCACAATAGACATTTCTGTCGACTCTGGTTGTGGATTTGACTTTTTAATTTCATCTGGTCTATCAGTTACGGAACTTTCAATGAAGTCTATCTATTATATTGAAATAGGTTTACATGATGGCTCAGCAGCCATGAGTACATAGCGGCATTGTAATACACTTTAAAAGGAGCGAAAATTGAAATATCAAAGAGTTCAGTTTGTTACTACAATGAGGAGGATGAGTCAGTATAATTACACCATGTCAGTATGATACAATCATTTGCCAGTTGAACAACGTGAACTGTTACGTGACTCTCGTGATTGTCGTAGATCAGTAAGTATGGAAGGGTTTTCAATTGAACTGTTGCTAAACTTGATGAAGTGCTTCATAACTTCGACAAACAACTCACTATTCATCCATCCACTTGGATCTGCCAAACTCAGTGTGTCAGGTGGAGCTCCTTATGGCATATGCTCCTTATAACATTTTCTTGAAAAAAACCATGACAGGGGCAGAAAAGTACCATTCGCATAACAACGACACGTGTTAATAAGAATAGACCTTTCAGAGCTAGTACAACTATTCAGCTGTTTTCACCTTTCTCTGTCACGACTTTCTTAGGTTTATGCATTATTGTTGTACTAGTTTCTGATATTAAACACAGCTGATGGATTTCTAGAATAAACTGCATGTAAATTGTCGAAGAATTTGTTGACATTGTGTGAATTAAATTATGTTAATCTTGATAAACTGCAACTGTCTGGTTGACGTATACTGAGAAAATGATTCATGAAGTTCATTCATCACTTCTTTCAATACAACGATATCTATTCCTTAGGGAATCCCATCGGTATAAATTCCTTAGCAAGGCTCATGAGAACTTCTATAAATCTTTAGTAGCTTGATATCCCATTTCCATGTTGCAGATCCAGAAGTTCTGGCATATTTTGGTAGAATAGGATTTATGGGTCTTGACCTATATATAAGAAGATCTTTTGATCGTTTCTTCTATAGTAAATCGTAGTATAATGAATATATAGTAAATTGTTATACAGGGTCGAAAGACTGTAGCAATTCTCAAGATCTATCGAGATATGTTCTTCATGGTCTCTTTATGTTTTGTAAAGTATGATTTGAGTAAATACCTTGTTTCTATCACTATAGATTTACAAAAAGTATCTTATTATAGATATTTTAATGAATGCGACATTTCGGTCAAATAATGGTCAAATCAAAAATAATCATACTATCCGTTACGCTACTGAGAAAGTCTATGGTTAACTCCCTTTATCCACTAGGAAATATAGATTAAGAGATGCTGTATATCGTTGGCCATTTAAGTATTGTCTCCATCTTTCCTCCTACCAACTGCAGTTACATTGAATGAACAAATATTTTAAACAGTCTAGTCTATTTCAATGAAATTTCAATCATTCTACCTTCTTTACTTGGGTATTTAAATCACAACTGCAAGATCATGTTTTACTATAAAAACCGAGGTTAAGTCCACACAATCAAAGCTTTTTCATGTTGGTATCTCAAGTTTTTACATGAACAAAATTATACACTTACCAATTTTTTTTATTTATCAAAAAAGAAATATTGCTGTGTCTCTCAATAAACCCATAGTACTTATATACCAGTGAACCTTCATTCAAAATTTTATTGTTGGGGTACTGGGTGCCTTCATTTTTATTTAACTGGCTGTTAAGACAGGAAAACTGTCAATTTCAACGGCCACCAAGAGTTCCTAAACCAAAAATTTTCCTTCAGCGAGGAGAAAAATACAATTAAAAATAATAAAGAATTAAACGTGTAACTTTTATATAGCATAGTAAAAAACTGTTATGATTCCGAAGTATAGTTTTGCTAAAAAAGGCGGCAGTATATACACTATTATTATTAAGAAGATACGTGTATGTGTAATAGAATCTTTTTTGAAAAACATTTTGACCAAAAATGCTCTGTTATATTGTTACCAAAGGATTTTTAAAAAGAAAGTCTTTTAATTTTGAATTTTAAATATACCTTTATTTATTATATGTCAAACGTCTACATTTTAGGCAATTTCCCGCGATGTGACAAAATAATAGTTAAAAGGGTGAAATGTTTTTTAAAGATTATTCTACTGTGTAAACTGTAATAAATAGAAATAAATACCTCTGTATGTTTATAAAATTATTTGCATTTCTTTTTTATTTATACTTATGTACTTAATTTTTGTAAAGAAAGTTTATTTTTGAGATTTTTATCATTTATTTCGTGAAAATGTTCCTGTCTCTTTGAGTTTTTAGGAAGTTATTTACGTTAAGTTTTTTCTTTATTATATTGTTAGGTTAGAGGTAGGTGCAATACATAAGACCCATTTTTTCGTAGAAAAAGTTATAAGAAAATACCTTTTTGCCATATTATTACTTTCTTTTTTATCTTTATTGTGTACTGCTTGGGTATCGTTTATACATAATAAATTAATATTAAAATTTTGTCATTGTTTTATTACTACCACCCATCTACAACCTTCATAAAAACCATTTTTAAAATAAACATTGTCTCATTGGCCTAAACCGCAGAATAAAAGCTGTGTAGTGTAAGATGGTTAAATATTTGTGACCAAAGACTAAGAGTTTGACCAAACCAAAAAATTGATAGCACATCCTGATCACAGAATAATAAACAATCAGAATGCCCACTCTGCTTTAAAAAATAAGTATGCCCATCTCGTTCGCGCAGACGGAATCAGTCATGTTTTAAACGGAACCAATGCTTGCTGTTCAGTTACATTTTATCTGGTGTGCATAGACATATTAACCTGGTTTAATTTATTTACGGCAACTAAAGACATAATATGCACCGTTTTATTCGTAATTTTAGTTGAAGAATAGATTAAATTATTTGAAATGTACTAAATTATTAATCTCTAAAAATTTAAATTATGGTTATATGGTAACTTCAAAGGCGGCATCTGAGAGTGGACATTCCGATTGTTTAATATTCTGTGTCCTGAGTTTGATCAAATCCTCTAAAAATAGAGGATCTTCTATTTTTATAGGTCTGTTTGGTCAAAGTTTAATTTTGATTCATTGAAATTGAAATCTAAGGACAGTTAAGGTCGATTCAGACACATCAGTCACGTCTCGTTACAGTGATTGCGCCGAACCGAACAATCCGTCATACAAAATATTCTTTAATACAAATATGTTGCCGGCATTCACACTCATCAGTTGACAAACAGTTTCCCAGCTGTCAGATAGTTGATAGTTCTGTGACCAAACAGGACCGGTTCGGCGCCGAGACTATGACGGGACTGATGTGTCTGAATCGACCTTAAGACATAATGTGATGAAAGTCTTTTTTCTTTGGTTGACAGTGTATCTTCCTATTTTGTTATATAATAAAAATAAAGGTATAGAACATAGATAAATAATATAATAGTAGAAATAGATAGGCAATTCAATGTATAAATTTCCTTCATTAGGACCCCTTAAGGTCAATTCAGACACATTAGTCCCGTTAGGGTCTCGGCGCCGAACCGGTCCTGTTTGGCCACAGAACTATCTGACAGCTGGGAAACTGTTTGTCAACTGATGAGTGTGAATGCCGGCAACATATTTGTATTAAAGAATATTTTGTATGACCGATTGTTCGGTTCCCTGCAATCACTGTGACGAGACGTGGCTGATGTGTCTGAATCGACCTTAACAGCTAGGGTCAATACTAATCATCTTTTGGCAGCAAATTCGAATGGACACCCCTTACATACATACCCTTTAGCTCCTCTTGGATACGGATGGATATGAAAATAGATCAATAGAAGAGATAAACTAGGAGCTGCCAATTGTCTTCTGAAGAGATTAAAATTGGAAGATCCCAAAAAATACTTGACAAATAATGAACTCAACTATTTCGAGTGGTTCAGACTTACGATAATATAAAGGCACAGCAAGGCATACAAATGAATTTCAATGCTAAATAGACCTTAAGTAAAGCTATTCGACCCCATTCTAGTCAATCTGTACTATAAGGCACCAAGAAGTAATAGGAATTAACAAAGAAAAAGGTGATTTAGGTTAGGAATAAAAAACAAATAACTTTTATAGAAGTGTTTTATATATTACAAAAAAATTATTAAAAATAAAACCTAAACTATCAATTGGTATTTACAATAGATCTTCTTCGGATCTAATATACTCTCCAATATCAGCCTGATGAAAACAAACAGTGGTTAAAGGTTCGCATGTTTGCATTCTGTAGTTGATCTGGCTGCAGCCCCAAATCCTAGAGGTAAGTCTGACATACTATAAACAACAACTCCTTGGTATTTTTCTGTGTTTTCACTAATTCTGCCTAATCCTGATTTGGCTACATGATTTCCATACAAAAACTGCTGCTCTGCTGAAGATTTTAACCAAATTTTACTCTGAAATGACACAAAATGTGATTAGAAGAATTAAAGACACATTCATTCCATTTGAATACTAACAGGAAATTTTGTTCTGAAGCTATTTTCTTGTGGCATTTTAAAATAGTTACAATTGAAGGTTGAAGTAAGTTTATTGACGTTTCAATTTCCACTTCAGAAATTGTTCTCAAAATACAATGTTTCCCATTAAAGTAGTAACAAGAAATAGATTTTTGTAAATTGCATGTTTTCAAGTTTTAAACTGAGTCTGTTAATTTTAATTATGAATAATGAACACAAAATTTACTTACTTGGGCATATGGTGCTAAATAATTCAGAGCTGTGACATGTAACCTAAATTTATTAGATTTTGTGAATTTTCCAAAGCATGTTCCTAGAGAAATTAAATTGTCAGGTGGAATGGAATTAGCTAGCTTCAAAATCTTCTCGGATACATAATACACTCTATCTTTTTGTTCCCTAAAGCAGTATAAACCATCTGGACGTTCTATTAACAGCTTAATATTTGGCCCAATGCTAAAAACTAAAATTAGAAAGTAACTGCTTTTAAGAATAAATAAAGTACTTACAACTTAGCTAATTTTTCGAACAATATTTTTGTTCTTTCTTCTGATAAACGTCTCATTTTTCTTATATTTATTTGTTCTATATCTGTGGTTAAAATGTAAGCAAATGTAAGAATGTAAGGTTATAAAGGATGCATGTTTCCTCTTCTTTTATAAAATATTTATAATACTAAAATAACCTTTACAGGTAGGCAACTTAAAATACTTTTGTGAATACTTTTTAATTTCATTTAATACGTTCACAAAAAGCACAATTCAATCAAAAACTCCAATCGCGAAAATCCCTTATAAACAAAAATCAGTAGCAAAACCACTGGCAAAACTATGTTTTGCTACTGATTTTTGTTCAAAATGTGAATAAAAAAAACGTTGATGAGGAAAAGTTAAATACAAGACCAAAAAGATTCAAATTTTTATAACCTTAAAATTATGTGACATTTGTAATTTTGTACATAACCAAAAATATCAAATGTTATTAAAATTTAAAATTAAATTTTGAAAATATATTGTTTTTATGACATATAAAAAATGTTGCGACAACATAATTTTATTTTTAAGTATATTCCGGTAGTTCAAATGAAATGTTCTAGTAGGACACTCGGATACAGGAACTTTTTTCGTTATTTAAAAATAGTGTATGTATTACTCAATGTTTAAATGAAAATATTTGTAAGAATTTTTATTATATTGTAGATCACCTAGTAGTAATAAGTTACAAACACTTGCCTCAAGTATCTCAGAATACAAACAAGGACAGAAACAGTTAGATCTAAATGTATTAACTGATATATACAAAAACGTAAATTTTGGTCAGTATTAGCCTATAACATTAAAGAAATTAATATTCCTAATAGTATCTAATTTCAGAAAGTATATCGAATGATGAAGGACAAGTTTTACTACAATGTTGTGGGTCTCTAGCCATAAATTCATCGCAGCAAGAAAGAAACAAACTGTGTCAACATATTTACGGAAACCTCGCCAAACATAATAAGCTGGATGTAGATGTGTACAATACATATATCGACATTTGTACACAAAATAAAACTTTAATTAATTTTAAACAGTTTTTAGAAAATTTAAAATGTGAACCTCATAAAAAAACTTATATGTCGTTATTTCAAAATGTTTGTGAATGTGGGGATATTAGTCAAGCGTTTCTCTTGTTAGAAATGATGAAGAGTGAGAATATACCAGTGGATGAAGAAATTTTTAACAATTTGGTCTTAGTCCACACTTTAAATGGGTAAGTTCTAATTTTTAAATGTGTAATGGGTATTTATTGTTCTTCCATGTCAAGCAATAAGGTGCCCATTAGACCATAATATAAGCTGTTAGTCTCCCACTGCTCACCAGTTCATATCTGTTCCATTTCATGGAGCTGCTCACCACTGCATTTGAATCCAGCTGTAGCTATCTTTAATGTATCTGTTATTCCAGCTTGTTTATCCTTGTTTTGCCTGGTTCATCATGATTTTGATTCAAACAGTCTTTTAGTTTAATGCTTCTGAGTTTTGTTATTTTGCCAGTACAAATTACAAATATGTAGCTAGGCAAATCGCTTGGTGGGGATGCCACCTTGAGACCTTCCAACCTGCCTGATTTTCTGTAGATACTCCATCTCTTAGTAAGTATGTTAACACATCAGTTTCATAACATACATCCAAGTATGCAGTGCATTCAGGTCTTATGTGGCACTGAGCCACTGGCCATTGCTCAGTTTTGTGGCAGACTGAGCATCTAGAACCTGCCACTCCAAGATTATCCAAGTATATTTTACAACCTTTAACCACCATGTTATTACATCTTTAATTGATGTTTTTAGAGGTATAGAAGCTGCTGAGAATGTTTTGGGAACTATGAAAGCTGCGCAAGTGCTAGAAACTACACAAACCCATTTAGCTATTTTAAAAGGTGTAATCAGGAATAAGAATCATAGTGATTTAGAAATTTTTTTGGCTAAATATCAAGTTCGACTTGATGAAGATCAATTACTCCTAATACTGAAGGAGATAGGATTAAATGGAGTCATTAGTTGGTTGCCAGAGGTAAGTGCTTCATTTAGTAAGACTTAACAGCTCCATACTCTAAAGGTGCCAGTCGGAAATAACGTATATACATAGATTATAGTCATGACTGATAGATAAAGTATTCAATGCATATAAGGTAACTGTCTAGTGCGCATCTATGTTGTGGAGCATGTTATCAACACACTTTTATGTAGTTTTTAGTAAGTATTTTGTTTTATTTTTTAGATGAATCCACTTTTTAAAGATCTTTCCTTGACAAGAGACTTTATTAACAACTTGAAAAATATTTGTGTTCACTTTGTACATATGAGCGAACCTTATTCAGCAATGAAAATGTTTAACTACTTCCAACAAGAACCTGAGGAACACTGTGGAATTTTTATATTGGAAGAAATGTTGCACTCTAACATAGTAAGTATATAACACTTTCTATATGTTTTTTTTTTCTTTCAATTTATTTCTATGCCCCATAAAAAGCCTCATTTCTCTTTGTTTTTACTCTGCTTGTCTCATAAACTCTTGTGATTCATTTACTTTCCTCCATGCTGCATAGAACCTTTATTGTTTTCTTTTAATAATTTTAAAAATATAATAATAATAACTTCTCTGACTCTTTCTCATTTATGAACATTATTTTTATTTTTTCAGTAATTATTTCCATCCTCATATTGTCTACTTGTTGTGTCTATATATTTATAATTTTTTGTAGCTTGTTCATATTTCCTTTAGTGATTTTAGTTATTGTGTCTGTAACTATATTAAATAGAAGAGGATTAAGGCTATATCCTTAATTTCTGCATTTTAAATGTATCTAATCTTTAACCATTTATTAGTACTTGCCTTTTTACCTTATCATACTTACTTATGTGCTTTTTATAATATTATATATTTGTGCGGTTTTATATTTTTCTGTATACAGTGGAACCTCGATTATCCATCAGGCACCGGACCAAGGGTATGACGGATAATCGAAAAGACAGTTAACTGAACATTAAAAAAAATTTATAGTACAACTCTTAAATTTTATTTGTATGCTATTGTCAAATCAATTTGATTTAAAATATGACCTGACGGAACTCTTTAAAGCAAAGGAAAATAATAATCAACATAATAACATCTTGAATTAAGACACGAAATAGAATAAATTTTCAGGAAGTAGAAATAGCCATAATTTCACTCAAAAATAGAAAGTCACCAGGACCAGGCGGATTAACCAACGAGCTTCTAAAACACGGATGAGAAAGTATAATCCTAGAGATGATAAAACTTATACAAAAACTAATATTGCACTGCAAGATACCAGATGCATGGAGAAACAGCATAATGATACCAATGTTCAAGAAAGGAGATATAGAAGACCTCAACAATTACAGAGATATAAATCTACTGAACACCGCACTTAAGCTTACCACAAAAGTCCTAACCAACAAAATCAATAAATTAACAACTTTATCAGATAAACAACAAGGATTCAGATCCGGAAGATCCTGTGTAGACGCCGTATTTGTACTAAGACAAATCACAGAAAAGGCCATCGAGTATAATAAACCAGCATATCCATGTTTTATAGACCTGACAAAGGCTTTTGATCGCATTCAAGTCGAAGATGTCTTTTACACATCGAAGGTAAATGGAAAACTAACACAGTGTATACCAGTACAAAGCGGAGTCAGGCAGGGTACTCGTTAACCAACTTCTCTTTAATATAATAATGGACGAAATAATACAAGCAGAACTTAAAGGTCATGGCTACAGAATGTGGAACAAATAAATCCAAATATTATGTTATGCAGACGACTCCGCATTAATCGCCGAGACAGAAGACGAACTCCAAAGATTATCACACATCTTCAATACAACAGCCAAGAAATACAATATGATAATATCAGCAGAAAAAACCAAATGTATGACAACATCTAAATACCACTACAATGTAAAATCGAAATTGATGGGAAGATAATAAGGCAGGAAGCAAGTTTATATATCTGGGAATAGATATAACTAGTTACGGAGATGTTGAAGAAGAAGTACGATAACAAAGCTTAAAAGCAAGTAAAGCGGCGGGATCTCTTAATGACACAATCTGGAAGAACAAACACCTAAGACAAGACACAAAAACAAGAATCTATAAAGCAACAATTAGACCTATATTAACATACACAGCGGAGACAAGACCTGACACATCTAAGACGAGACGACTACTAGAACAACAGATGAAAATACTCCGACGAATATCACGGAAAAGTCTGTTGGATAGGGAGAGAAGCGAAAACATAAGAAGAGCATGCAATATAGAAGACATAAATGGGTGAAAAACGGAAACAGGAGTGGAACAAACACATCAGTAGAATGGCAGAGGATAGGATAGTATGAATAGGCACGAGATAATTCACCAAATGGACGCAGAAGTATTGGCAGACCAAGAAAGAGATGATGCGACAATTTAAACAATTTAGGAGGCTAATATTGAAGAGGACCTTACAAGGTCTTTACAGCCTACATACAAGAAGAAGAAGAAGCATAGAAACTTTTGTGGCAGTATTACACTGTTGCCGTAATTAGAAATATGTCGAAAAACTGAGCATAAAAGTTGACCATTAATTAGACAGAATACAACATCGAGAAACAGTAATCAACTGGCAACGCGGCATAAAAGCACATATTAATATAAGAAATATTGAAAATTATTTCATTGATTATCCTGTAATAATGTCTCAATTTAACATTGCTACACTGAAGAACCGCAGGTTTAGAGCTGATATGTTATTTTTGTTTAAAACTCTAAACAACGTTATTAATTGTCCCCTGTTATTAGCCAATGTGTACTTAAACACAATTCATAAAACTCGACACACTGCACTCTTTTATATTTCTTTTCATAAGACTGATTATGCTCATCATTTTCCCTTGTCGAGAATGCTCAGTTCTTGCAATGACCTATTGGACCCATTCTGTCCAAACATTAATGTTTTCAAAAGGTAACTTAAAAGTCTAAGTCTTATTAATCTAAATATGTGATATTTTTTAACTTTTGTGATTTGAAATACTCTTTTAATGTACAAATTTTTACTGTTTAATTGTTTCTTTGTTATTGGTTTGATGTTTATTGTACATGATCTTTACTTTTTACTATTTGTTGTATTTTATTTTAAATGGTTCTACCGTTGAAATAAATAAATAAAAGAGCGGAAGTAACTTTTAATAACTCAAAGAACTAAAACTTTAGGAAGTTCTTTTTAGTAACTCAAGGTCGCGATTCAACTCGGCTTTTTTCATGTAGTACTTAAAAATAATGTTTGATATTTCACTAATAATGTAATTTTTTATGAAAAAAGTATCAGTTTATGTACTTGTTCCATAAATTAGTACTATACAATTTTTCTAGGAATATGATGAATGTTTAGCTGCTGTTAAATTTTTCTGTGATAACTACACGAACGAGTATGTCTATGAAAGATTAACCGAAGTTGCTTTAAAAAACGGATATTACGACATTGCTTGGAGACTTTTCGAGCATTTACAAGCTTTAAGACCTCATTTTTTCTGGCCCTTGTTCCTTAATGCCAGAGATGTCGAAGGAGAAGCAGGTATGTTTAATATTATATCATATATTTATGAAACACTAAAATAATAATAAACCATGGAAAAAACGTGTAATTTAAGGATGCCATGGAATTACTTATTTCTGCATTTATACCTTCTATAATGTCCTCTCTTTTATGGTGTGCCTACACATGATACGTTATAGTTAACATTTTGCAGGTATCTTCAAAGTTTTAGACCAAGTAAAAAAGTTGGGTGTTCAGGTCGATACGGACACTGTGGAGTATTATATATTGCCCTTTTGCAACCTCGAAGACGTAAAATCCGTCGTGGAAAAGATGAAAAAAGAAGGTTTTACTGTGGTGTCAGTTTTAGGTCCGTTAGTGCGTGTACTGTTGAGAAGGAATAAAATAAAAAAGGCTGCTGAATTATGTAAGTACACGATTTGTATCTTAATTTATTATTTAATCAATCGATCAATTATTGTTTAATGAAGAATAAGGATAGAGATCTTTATTGCGTTTGGGTGTAGGACATATCAAAATAATTTTCCCTGTTTTGGGTCCCATGATCCTCTTAGCGTTTGCAGTTTTTGGCTATTTTATGTAGCACATTCTGAAGTTCCCCTGAAGGGTTGTTTCTATTAAGAGTTTTTCTGAAGGCTGTTTGAGAGAGTTTTTCGCTCTGAATGTACTTGTGCAAAGGTGCATGGATCAGCCAGTATATATGTGTTTCTCGAATTACAACAAAACCTTCGATAAGGTCACACATAACCGTCTTATTGAATTACTTGAAAAGAAAAACTTAGATATGAGAGACATCAGGATCATTAGCGCTATCTATTATAATCAGATCGCTGTGGTAAAAGAGAACGTCTTTTCAAATGAAATACAGATTGAGAGGGGCGTCAGCAGGGCTGTGTCCTGTCTCCTACTTTGTTCAATTTGTATTCAGAGGAAATAATCCAGGAAGCACTAGAAGAACTAACTATGGGAATAAAAGTAAATGGCCAACCAATCCACTATTTTATTAGCGGAATATCTTGAGGATTTACAACAAATGGTTGACAGAGTGGTAGAAGTCAGTGAAGAAAACGGACTGTCCCTAAACACAAAAAAGACACAATTTATGGTAATTACAAAATCCCAACAGCGCCAAGAAAATATAACAATACATGGAGAACAAATTTAAAAAGTTGAAAAATAAAAATATTTGGGTACAATAATTAACGAAAATAATGAGTACACAGAAGAGATTAAGGCAAGAATGGGACAGGCAAGAAATTCTTTCAACAAACTGAAAAAAGTACTCTACAGCAGGGACATTTCAATTTCTTTAAAGATAAGACTTCTGAGATGCTACGTGTTCTCCGTATTATTTTATGAGTTGGAGGCTTGGGCATAAAAGAAAGATGTTTCGGACAGATTAAAGTTATGAGCCTACAGAAGGATATTAAGAATAAGTTGGATGAATAGAGTCACAAATGTCGAGGTGTTGAGAAGAATGGGAAAAGATAAAGAGGTTTTAAATACAATTAAAGTCAGAAAATTGCAATATCTGGGACATGTCATGAGGGCGAGCGTTATAACTTGTTGCAATTAATAATGCAAGAAATAATACAGGGTAGGAGTCGCGGAAGAAGACGCATCTCTTGGTTAAATAATTTGAGAGTTTGGTTTAACTGCACTTGTGCTGACCTCTTTAGAGCAGCGGTATCGAAAGTGCGAATTGCCATGATGGTTGCCAACCTTAGAGGAAATGGCACATGAAGAAGAAGAAGATAGTATGATTGGGTAGTTTTTCGAATATATGTTGGGTTTTGTGAAAGAGGAAAGGGTGTGCCGACTGTTTAGCAGTTTGTAAGGTGACAGTGTTTTTAGAGATTGAGAAGAAAGAGAAATAAAACAAAATCTGGTATTAGTAGTTGATTTGTTAGTAGTGAATGACTTAATGAAAGTCTATTTGGTTCCTATTTGATTTGATGTATTTGATTTTTGTCTTTGGCCAATATCCAGGTATAGAATGGGCAAGGTAGGTGTAGATTAGGATTTAGGTAATCTAAACCACGTGTTCACATTATTAGTTTGTTTTTTTGTCTATCTCATCATTTTTACTAACTCTAGAACTTTTAGGTGAACACTACAAGGTTAATATCGGCGGTGACAAATTATTCCATTTGATTTGTACCTCATGGCGAGCCACAAAAAGTCCCCTGTTAGTTACAGTACTAAAAAAATATTGTGAATCGAATAATAACGACAATGATACAGTTGGAGATTTTTTAGGCAAGTCGCTGTCATCCTGCAAAAACAAATACGATTTTCAGGATTTTTCCAAGACGTTAAAGGTAACATTTAAATTTTTAAAGTGTAAAATTGTGTTAGTTAGACGTATGAATGGATTTGTACATTACAAATTTTTATTATATGTATTTTTTTATTATGTGTATACAATGCAAATTTACAATTTACTTCACGCTAACATTCTTCTCACGGCTTTTGTTCAGTGCCCCATTTTCATTGGAATTCTTATCCATATCTTCAATAAGAAAGTTGCAGTAGTATTAGACTATGTCTATCTGTATGATTATTTATTTTCCTTCCTTTTATTCTGTAAAAGGTGTGATTTTCAAGCGCCATTTTCCTTACCAAAAGGAACAATAGTGGCACCAGTGACATCTAATTCTCACAGCTATGGTATGACGTCATGTTGTTTTGGTATCCATGGGCGTAGAAAAAGTTTTGAATGCAATAATTCACGTTGAACATTAAGGAATGCCCCCAATGCGGCGGATCTCACCACAGCTATTTGAGTCACTGCCTTTACGTGCTCCCCCACTTTCCGTTTTGACTCAAAGTCGCCCCTAAATACCTCACACATTTCTTTGGAACCACTATCTTTCATGCACATTCGAATGTTATCCCGTCCCTTTTCCTTGGTCCCTTGGGAACTATAGCCCCGGTCTTCCCCGTAGCCAGTTCTAGCTCATGCATATTCATCCATTCCTTCGCGATTTTCGCCACAAGCTTAACAATATGTAATTATATCCATCCTCCAAGGCAAGATGTAGTTGCTTAGTAGTATCGCCAATCGTGGCAATACGAGAGATGACCCACACAACCAGAAAGTATTCTGTTTTAGAAGATAACAATTCAACATAATATTATAGAATGTTAATTAAAACAAACCTTGATATTTTTCTTCATTCGCTGTTACCTTTAACTTTGATGAAAATTATTTTAGGCCATTTTTGAAGCCAAGTTAAAAATAACAACTACATCGGCAGATCTTTTGCGAGAAAAACTTCAAGAACAATTTGGAGAGAAGGAAAGTGAATTAAGTGAACAAATCTTAGACGGAATTGATAAAATTTTGCAGTTGAAATTAAAGACGGAGAAAAGTTATATTCCACATCCGGTAAGTATATGTCAGGCTATTTATATAGTTGAATTAATTGAAGGATATCTTCCTTTTTGTATATTTTTTATCTTAATTTTACACGAATTTTATTTTTTTTTTTGTTTCATCTAAAATGGTATTTTATATTTGGTTGTATTGATGATTTTAAATGATAATTAATATTAAATGTGATTTATTTATATTTATCAACTATTTAGTGACTTCGCCAATGTTTAAGGTAGCTTGCAATCGAAGAACTTAAAAAACTATAATAATTCATATATCACTGGTCGATAAATAGTATTTTATGACATTTTGTTGAAAAAAAACCTGGTCTGTCCCAAAAGTATGCGAGTTTGATTGAGAACTTCGCGCCAAAACTTTACAGTGCCATCTATGGGGTACTAGCATAACCAGTAACTTGTCAAAGCTTGTATACTGCAGGTACCAATGAGAAATGTCTAGTTCTTAGTTATTAATAGCATATTTTTGTTTACATTGCCTGTTTGCTTTCATCATATTTCAGTATCGCTAAAAATACAGGAGAGTTATGAGCGTTAAATATGCATCAACTTTTTCTTTAAACTCAAAAAAGTTGTGTAGAAAGTATTCAAATAATGCAAGACCTTTTTGAAGATGAATTTCTGAACAAATCACGGATAAAATAATGGTTCAATCGGTTTAAAAATGGCTGCATTATATTCACAATGACCCGGGCTCTGGCCGAACTTCCAGCACAACACAAAAAATATCGCACTATACTTGCGATTAAAAAAAGATTATCTTTTGACTGTGACCTTGAAACCGATATTGGACTTCCGAAAACTTGTTAATCGCAACAAAAAATCTCTGGACAACTTGAAAATGCTCGTAACTGATGAAAATATGCTTTAAAAAATCAATACCGGTGGCTAGTTGTGGGGCTACGGTTATGATTCTAAAAAAAGAAGGTCTTGCAATGGAAACTTCCATCTGAGAGTATATGTTTGTGTTTTCGATTATGAAAGTCCAACAAGGTCATCCAATCAACAACGAATTTTATGTTTAACCCAGCGACTGGTTTCTTCTTGCAATAATACGCCACCACATTTATTGAATGTTATATAACAATTTTTGGTAAATCACAATGTGTAACAACTCCGCCAGTCTTCGTACAGTTTTGATATACCACAATTCTTCGGCCACCTTAAGAAGGTCATAATTACTATTGCACCAAGCAGACCTGGAGAGCAATTAGTTCCTGGAACGCTTTTTCAGACTAAATTTGAATGCCCGCAACAGCTGAGACGCACATATATCGTTGGTCTTACCTATGGTAGACAAAAAAATTTTATTTTTAGTTTTGGGAGGCTTTGCAACTGATATTACGATCTTTAAGGAAAAATCCTGAAATCTTGACCAGTCTGTCAGTCTGCTTTAAGAATGGCTTCAGTGACTTAACCCCTTACCGCATATTGGTATATATGACACAATACTTAGTTTTATACCTAACCGTTAGAGATCGAATCTTATTTTACAGTATTTATGCATGGTATGTCCATATAGAGCACATATTTCGTATAAGCGGTAATAAAGCGCCATCTCAATGCAGCAGAGTGAACTTTTATAAAAATTTTCAAATGGCCGCGGCCTGACAGCTGTTCATAAGAATTGTGTAATTTGATATTCACTTATCGAATGATATTGAATATCAATGAAATTCAAGTTTCTACTGAATATTTTTGTACAAAAAAAATAACGACATCAAGGATAGACCTTCAAGAAAGAATTTCTGTAAGTATTTTTACGTATTTCTTTATATTTTGGTATTTTTTTTGGTCAAAAATATGCTTGTGTCATATATGCCGCAATATGAACTGTCGTGCAAAACTTTCTTTCATATATGGCAATATGCGTTCTGAATTAGGTATTATTATTTTTTTTATTTTAGATAATGGATCCAAAAAAGCTTTATGGTGAATCTCTTGTGGTAATGGACATACCAGATGGTAGTGAAAACGAAGAGCTATGAGATGAGGATATTTCCCCTATTATATTTGCTCCAGAGTCAGACTATGAAGATGATATAATAGATAATAATGAATCAGATATTATTATCCCAGAAACAGATTTAGAAAGCAGTTCGGATAGCGAAGATGATATTTCTTTGGACTAATTACGACGTATTCTAATTAAGAATAGAAAAAAAATCATCAAACTTGGAAAGAAGGAAATTTGGTAACATTAGATGAAATAAGATTTCTCTGTTCTACTGACCTGCCACCTGAGTTGCAAAAACCTTTGAAACTTTCTGAAAATGAGCTAGAACAGTTCTTAGGTACCTGTATTTATATGTCAATAGTGCAATTGCCAAACGCTAGAAGTTATTGGAACTCCAGCCTGAATCATCGATTGATCTCAGATGTTGTCATGCAATAGATGGGAAGAAATAAAACATTTTTTACATTTTACGAACAATAACGATGCTATTGCTATTGAAAATATACATGCGTATATTTTCCCATATTATTGATTTGATGACTGCCAATGCGTGTATTCTTTGGAGAAGAAGTGACAATGACCATAATTTAGATCTGACAGATTTCAAAATGGCAGTAGCAGAGTGTTTATGCAAAGTTAATAAAGCTGACTTTACTACAGAAAGGGGTCGTCCGTGTGGAGCTATGGAAAATTTATAAAACAAGAAAAGAAAGGGTGCAGCAACCGATATTCCAATGCAAGATGTACGAACAGATGGATATGGTCATCTTCCATTATGATGTAATGTAGTGAAAGGCAAAGATGCAAATATCCCTGTGGTTCAAAAAGCTTCATAAAATGCGAGAAGTGTAATGTTTTTCTTTGCTTAAACAAAGATAGAAATTATTTTTACAACTTTCACACCGAATAAATATTATAATTAGAAAGTAATAAACGTTATTTTTTTATTAATTTTACTTGTTGAATCTTGTTTTAATGCATAATGTGGCATATATCACACACAAAAAAAAATAAAAATATTCAAAAAACTAACCAAGTAGGATTTTTTGTATAGTTTTACCGTGATCCTGAAGTCAAGTTTATGATCGTAGATTTTTTTTTATAAAAATAAAAAAATCGTCAGTAAGGGGTTAAAGTACCGATAGGAAAATGTTAAGTCGACTGAAGATTGCACGAGCTGAATGCCGAAGAATATACGAATCTCGCACACTTTTGGAACAGACCTATTGTTAGATTTTTTTGTGATCTATCTATATTTTTCTTTTCAGCGTGAAATGTCAGTAGAAGAATTAGAGTGCCACTTGGTTGAATTAATGGAGAAGGGCATGGAAACCCGAGGAACTCTTCGAAAGCTAATACAGATGCACGTAAATCTCGGTAACGTGACTAGAGTGGAAGAACTTCGGAAGCAATTTTTAGCACACGGCTACGAAGAATCCGTAGGAATGAAGTCGTCGTTGATGCATAGTTTTGTAGTGAATGGAAACACCAAAGCTGCTTTAGATCTTTATAACGAAATTACAACTCTTCATCCAAATTTTATAATAGATAATTATAAGTCGATCGATCTAGCCACGTTGTTAGTGAAAGAAGGTAGACTTACGGAGGCTATAAGCTTAGTGGAGAGCATTGGATATAGGTGAGTTTTTCAATTGATTAATAAGTTTATAACGTTCTACGCCGTCTTCTGATTTCCAGTCTTAATTTATCTCGGTCGTTCCAAAGGTTTTTTTAACTCCGCTCTCCCTTAAGACATTATCAATTCCTTCTCTAAAACTTAATCTCGGTCTACCTTGCTTTCTTCTTTCATGCGGTGTCCATTTCAATACTTTCTTTGGTGTTCTGTGTTCATCCATTCTTTGAACATGGCAATACCATCTTAGTTGATTTATTTTGATGTCCTTTGTTATATTGTGTCAAACAGCCATAATTTCTCGTATTCATTCGTTTCTAACTCTGTCTAATCTTAATTTTCCAGCCGCTCTTCTCCAGAAGTCCATTTCTGTTGCTTTCAATGCTAAGTTTTTTCCTTTCAGTCGCCATACCTGACTTCCATATGTAACAATGCTTTTTATAATGCTGTTATAAATTTTGTGTTTGTTTTCTTTCGAGATTGTTTTGTCCCACAATAGACTGTTTAATTGCCTAATGGCTTGTTTTCCCTGGTTATTTCTGTTTAATTTCTTCATCTAATTTGTCATCGTTGGTTATTTACATGCCTAAATATTTGTATTTTAGATTAGATTTTGTTGAATTCCCCCAATACACATGTATTCTGTTTTCTTGATATTTACTTCTAGTCCCCATAGTTCGTATTCTTCAATAAGTTTATATTCGAGGTCTTCTTAGTCTCGGGCCATCACTATCTGGTCGTCTGCAAAACTCAATGTGTACAATATTGCGTCGTTTAGAGGAATTCCCACGTTTCTGCATTTTCTTTTCCACATCTTTATAGCTTGCTCTGAGTAGGTCTTAAACAAAGTAGGAGACACGCAGCATCCTTGTTTGAGTCCTTTGCTGATAGTGAAACCCTTGGATACCTCCTTTCTTTATTTTACTTTCTTTATTTTATTGCTAAAATTATTATTTTATAGGTGTATTATTATATATCCATAATACACCTGCATGCAAAACATGTTGCATACTATCAAGACAGGTTTAATACATTACTTTCATTAATAAAACATGAAGAACACCTAATTACATTTTAATTATAATATTTTTGTTTTTTCCTTTCTGTTCTCTATGGATCAGTTGAAACACACCATTAAAAGATGTCACAAACGAAGTTTTACTGTCCTTTTTAACTTTTAACTAAATTTTAAAATGTATTTTGTCCATTTTTTTATGTTATATTTTATATGTGTGTTATTAATGTTGAGTGTTATAGCTTTATCTATAAATAATCTCAACGACTAGTAAGTTGCACTGACAATTTGGGATATATTGTAAATATTTACACATTCTTCTAATTACAGTGTCTTAAAAAAGGAATAAAACAATTCCGAAAGCTAGACCAAAAGTCAAAAGAGTGTTTCTATAACATCCCGGCCAAACTTCTGACTGCAGCCCTAATAAACTTTGTTGTTTGTTTATATCGACTAATATCCAGTATTTCTTGTATATATATAACTTTTAAAAAAAGAATATAAAGAAAAATATATTCGACATATAACATATATATTTTTTTGTAGACCAGAATTTAAACCTGCCTTAGTACAAAGAAATTGTGTTTTGTTGTTAAATTCGTTTAAAGATCAAGCCAAACAAACTGAAATGTTTGACTTATTAATAAAAAAGAAGTTATGTGTAGTCAATAATATTATGCTTGGGCCACTAGTAAGGATACTACTAGAAAGGTAAGATTATTTAATTTCCTTTGTACAATGCCAAAACCACGAATTTACAATATTGAAAATTATAGCCCAAGTAATTTAACAGACGAGGTAACTTTGAAAATTATTGATATCAAAATAACGATTGTGTCCATCGAGTCCAACGGGGTGTTAGTTGTGGTATCCAATATTCGTGGTTTTGGCATTGTGCTGACAACTACTATTATTTTATTTATCCATTTGTTCCTATCAAGTTCTTTGCACGTTATCAATGTCATTTTGTACTTTAAAATTATCATTGTCACTTACTTTTTGTTTTTAAAATTATCATTATCAAATGATAATTTTAAAAGTTTTCTTTGATACAATACTTGTGAGATTGCTACTACTTTTGATATGATTTTGTGCTTCAATAGAATCAGATTCACTAGGTAAAACAGTTGTTCCCATCTCTTTTTGTGTGTACTTCCCACTTTGAATTCCATACAAATCACTGATTTAGTGATAAGCTAGCACACACTAACCGTTATGCGTTTTCAGTACCCCGTGGCTGTGCAGGATCCCTGATAATCCTGTTAAAATGTCAACACAAAAACAAGATCCCACTATTATTTTTAGACAGCACGTATAATATGGCCTCAATATAAGAATAGTTACCATTACTTTTTAGCAGAAACCAACCTGTACCAACATATTTATTAATATTTTTCTACTTCTTAGGGGTGAATTGGAAGGGGCCGTAAGTACTTTCATCACATTCGCCGAAAAGCACAAAGTTACACCGCTACTGTTCGAATTAATAAGAGACATAGCTTTGACCCAAAACGAAGAGTTACTACAGACAGTTTTAGACGTTTCAACCAAAGTCCACGGACCCGTATCGACGCAAGTGATGCTGATAGCTGTGTTGGCCGAAATTGGGGAAGAGAAAATTTTAAAGAAATTATTTGCGGTACGTTTAAAGCGATTTAAATGTCATTCTTTAATTTTTATCCACCTGTTTATGTTTCAGACGACGCAAATCCCAATCCAAAAAGAGCTGAAGAAAAGGTGTGAGAGGTGGATTAAAGAAGGCAAGGTGAATGCCTTACTAACTTTAGCGAATAGTTGTAATAGAGTATCCAATGATTTAGTTGATATTGATTTCGTTTACCAGTGTATAATCAAAACGTTTGGTAAGTATTTTCTTTAACAAAAACAGTTTTCCCATTCAGCCGAATCACTGGCTAATAACAATTATAAGGGGGTATGTTATTTCCCCTTTAATTACTGCTGAGTTCGTTTGATTACTTTACTTAGGGAAATAATGTATTTTCAATTTTCAATGAGATTTGACGTCACGAAGGCGATAACCATGAAACTAAGTGCCATGATGAGTAACACGTTTCACTATTAGATTTCAGTATATTTTAGTAATTTTCTTTAAAGTTTGTGAACACGCTTTTCTCGATTATAACTGGACACAGAAAGGTGTAAACAAAATCAGCGATTACAGAAAAAAACTCTTTCAAGTGATGGGCGTAAAAAGTTTGGTTATAATAGAACGTTAAACAATATAATCCAATATTTCAAAAGAACTTTCAAAAAAATAAAAAAAAAAGTAAAACCATCAGTTTAAAGGCAACATAATTTTGAATAACGTGTCCAAATTTCGAGACATTTTGTCGGTAAATATCAGAGAAAACACTGTCTCTAGGTTTTGGTGAACCGATAAAACAGCTTTAACTAAATATTTTTAAATTGTTCAGTGGTGTTCTGTTGTGAAATTTTTTTGTATTTTTTTTAGCCACTAACAATGACTGTGCAGCCGCTGTTAAGTTTTATGAAAGATTATTAGATGAGGACGTTCCTGTTAATAGGAAACTAGAACGAGATTTATACCAGTTCCTTAAACAGAATAACTATTCGGTGGTTAATCCAAAATAAACGATAATTTTATATAATTTTGTTTTATTTTCCCTTCCTGTGTGTTTCATAATATACTCGGTTCGCTGCCCCTAGTCCGAACTGTCTGCTAAATATAGTAATCCATAGTTTAGGTGAGAGTGGAATAAAGAAAAATACGTCATTTTTAATAATCCAAAGTTGACAACCCGTGCTGGTTGGCGAATAACAAATAATGAACTTGATAGCTTTTTCTTTAGTTGTGAGATATGAGCCGACCAGTTCAGTCGATTATTTATGGTTATTCCCAATAGTAACAGTCTCTTTGTTATCTGAATCATTATGTAAATTACTTGCAGATATAATCAAATTTTTTGTGTTATCGGAGTTAAGTTTCAGTTTGTTTGCAGCAAACCATGATCTAGATTTAGTAGAAACTTCCTCATGAGACATTTTTAAATCATCATTATTTTTTCTTGATATAAAGTATATCGTATCATCTGCAAATTGTACGGATTTGTACGAAGATATGAATTTGGGCAAATAATTGACATAAATAATAAACAAAAGAGATCCTTAGACCGGACCTTGTGGGACTCCATGTTTTACGGATAGGAAATCAGAGAGATGACCTTTGGACACTACCGCTGGTGTCTGCCAAATAGATAAGAAGTTATAAGCTTAAGAGCTCTGATTCTATAGAATTTAATTTGTGGAGCAAAATGTCATGTGAAACGCTGTCAGAAGCCTTCGAAAAGTCGCAAAGAGAAATTCCTATGCGATTACCGCGTTCAAAGCCCCTCAATCACCTCGCTCACAACATTAAATACCGCGTTCGTAGTAGAATGAGCACTTCTAAATCCATATAATCGCTTTTTCAAAAGTCGAAACAATGCTTATCGGTATATAATTGTCAGTTTTTGAAGAATCGCCATTTTTGTAGATAGGTAGTACTTTTGAGTAGTATTTTAGTTCTTCCGGAAATACTCCATTTGATAGAATTAAATTAATTGGATGAGTGAAAGGTGTTAACAGGCAAAATCAGAATTTGATGTGGGCTAGGTACATTTTGCGAGGCCCTCTGCTCGAGCATAAAGACAGATTTTTTAAAATAAAAAACGTGTCATTTCATTATTAAACTTTTATTCGTGCAAAATCTACTTAAACATACAATTAACCTAAAAATATTTACTATATTATAAGACCTACCAACGTCAAAAAACAATTTATTTTAAATATTACATCATCATCTTCATTTTGGCTTTACAACCCTGTGTGGGTCCTAGCCTCCCCAAGAATTTTTTTCCAGTCGTCTTCCTCCGCCAAGAACATATTTCCATAGTTCCTGTAATATTTAAATCTCCATGGAAATGGAAATTTAAATATTCAGGAACAGAATTTTTTTTACTTTTTACACTGCTGAATTGTTTAATTACGTGTTCGTAATCTAGCTTGGATGATATCAGCCTCGATAGACAAAATTGCGACAGCAGAAAGTCTTTCCTGTGACATCGTACTCCTTAAATAATTCTTCTTCTTCTTAAGGTTCTATCTTCTAACGAAGGTTGGATATCAACATGGCAATTCTTATTTTACTTACAGCAGCTCTAAATAGTTGGCTAGAGCTCAGACTAAACCATTCCCTTAGATTTCGTAGCCAGGAGGTTCGTCTTCTTCCTACATCTCTTTTACCTTTGAAATAATTCTTAATGAGTTTTAATTTTGAGAAGCTCCTTTCAGCGGAGGCTGTACTAATTAGTATTATTAATATTCTTATAACGATGTAGATGTTTGTGTATATTTATTCTAAGTTATTATGTGTTATGCGCCATGTGTTTAATAAGAGAAGGATTAGATCTGTAAGACCTTAATTCATTACTAACCGATTGCAAGGGTGTTTTTTCAGCAGTTTGTCGTACTTTTTTTGGTAGAAAATACTTTAGTAAAAAGTTGTTATAAGTTTCGGTAAGAAAGACTCAAACAATAAGGATCATTATTAATATCATAGAAAAAGTCCATCTTTGTACTAGCTAGCGCACGTTTAAGCTTTTGTAAACCAGAAGTAATAAACCGTTGAAATAATCGATTAGTGTCAAGAACTTTATGCTCAGAGTCAATAAATAAAAATTGAGTTCGATGGTCAAAGAAACAAGGTTCAAATACGCTCAAATATCTACACTCTGTAGATATTTTCAGAAAAATAGTGTTGTCGATGCAACTATTTTACTGGGATGTGACCCTAATATAATCGTTTATAGTTACTTTTAGATTAAAAGATGTTAATAGCTTTTGAATATCAAAAGAAGGGTCAGATTCAATTTAAAATTTATATTAAAGTCACCAAGTATGATCAGTTTGTCTGCTTTACTAAGCAATGACGTTATGACATTCTCACAATTCACCAAAAACAAGTCAAAGTCACCCTTACCCGATCTGTATACAGTTAAAATATTGGTTTTTATGGAAAGTACATAAATTGCTCAAAACTCTGAACTTTTGCTCTACATTATATTCATTTAGATTAAGAGAAGAATACATAAGATTTTCTTTTACATAACTTGCAACTCCACCTTGTTTCTTTTTTACCCTACAAAAGAATTAGCTAATGAAAAGCCAGAGATGCTAATTAATTTTAAATTTGTTTCACTATGCCAGTGCTCGGAAAAACATATGACGTCATATAAATTTTGATTCGCAAGAAAAGCATGGACTTAAAATTCACAATTATGTCAATAACTTCCTACTTTTTTTAGCTTAAAATATATAGATATATCAATATTGCAGAATAACTAGATTTCCTGTAAGTTTTTGACACTATTTCCTTCTGAATTTTTGCCGTTTTGCACGTCTTTCCTACCTAAAAATCCGTATTTTAAATCTCAATCACATTCTGTTGATTTTGTATTTTCTAATATCTTCTATTATCTACTATTTATTGATCTGTATTCCTGCGTGCTTCTATCTGACAGTTTGTTTCTTTTTTCCATTAACATCTTTGTTACTTGGTTTATTATCTATACAGGGTGGTGAATCGTCAAACGGGCAATAGGAAACTTAATGGAAAATTCTAAATTGTTGAATCCTACTTCCCTAATTAATTTACACGAAAAGATCAAGTAACTATTTGTAGAGGACTTCCATAGTATCGAAAACAATTGTTAAAATTGTCTACGATTTAAACGTATTCCAAAATTTTGCTAAAAATATAATACATTTTTCAGGCCACCCCTAAAATCAGCCAGACGTCATGAAAAAAATGTAATTACGTGTTTACGTTTGTCATATTGACTTTTCTAATATTTTGACAATATTTAATCAACAATAATGTATCGATGATTTTAAATGCCAAATGTTTATTTTGTGATTTATTGTTTAAAAAAATATTAAGTGATTAAAAATGTACCAGTTATGGAAGAAAAAGATCAATAATAGAAAATGTTTTAATTCATGTTTTTTATTATAACATCTTGTTATAGTTTTATTGTTTTAGAAATTATCATAAAGTTATTTTTTTTTAGAATAAAGATCACAGTAATCAGTAATATTGGAATTCATTGAAGTGTTTTATAACTTAACATGGAATCTAAAATTTTAGTGTATTAAATATCTTACGTTTCAATAAAGATCCGTAGTGATCAGAAAAGGTTCGGCGCTATTGCCTAATACAACATTTTGCGATTTCGTCAAATGAGTACCTTGTCAATTATAATTGATCCCGATTTGTAACTAAAAATTTATTGTTCACAAAGTATGATTGTTCAAGTAATAGTAGTATTTAGTTAAATTCATTGTATTATAATTTAAGCAAAAACAAAAAAATATTGACAGTCAAATTGGTCAAACATCGACATCAATATGTTAAAACACACACGTTCTATATTCTTATATTACGTGTGGCTAACTATTTAGGTGGTCCAGAAAAATCTATATATTTTTTAGCAAAAGCTTTTGAAGTACATTGAATTCCGTAGAACGTTTTTAACATTTGTTTTCAATTCAATGTTTAGACCTCTACAAATAGTTTTTTATGATTTGATCTAAAAATAATTTGGATGCAGCCATTCCATAATTTAAAATATACCATTGAGTTTCCTATGGCCCGTTTGACGATTCACCAACCGGTATAATTTTTTGGTTGGGGCAATGTTTTTCTGTTGCATTTCATCATCATAGATCAGAGTCCTTTTTATTTCTTTTCGATACTCTATATTTTCAGAAGTTGTTTATTTCACAGACGTTTTTTAAGAATCAAGCTAATTCGTTGTTTGTTTATCTTTACTTTTGTTAGAATATCCGGTGGTCGCTTCCTTCAAGGAATGTATTTGAACACGTACATCCTGAACAATATATTTTCCACTATTATTGTTACGCTTTTTTTTAAAATGCTCTCTATCCATGTTAAAGTATTGCTGATAGTTTACATGATGGACTCTTGGAATATGGGTTCTAAACAACTTGATGAATATACTCAGTGACATTAGAAGTGTTACATACACCCAGAAGGAATAATTTCTTGAACTTAATTTTTTGTCCACAGAATGACTATATTTAAAACATCCTATGATAACAATACCAATGTTTTATCTTTTCTACTTTTTGTAAAAATAAAGTTTTATCTTTAAATTTTTTTATGAAAACCGATTTTTAGTTATTATTCCTTAGTCTAATCATATGTCTCTAGTGTAAGAAAATGCCTTGAGTTCGAATATACCAAAATTACCATCATGTTAGCGATTTTGACAGCAGCAAAATAATTACGTGTAGAGATATGGGTGTGTCGTATCGCGAAATTGGCCGTCCTGTTAATTGTACGGCAATGACGGTTATGCGTATCAGTTGTGTGTGGACAAACGAAGGTAGTGAAATACGAAGAAAACTAACTGGTCAACGGAGGCGTACCGCAAAGCGTCAACATAGGCGTATTAGATTAATGGCTCTATGAGGCCGTTTTGCTATTACGCGTCAAATTGCTGACCAATGGTTTGGAGTAGTAGGTAGACCTGTTAGTATGTGTACACTATACCGTTACATTCGAGACTTGTTTCATTCCGCCA